GCTGCAGCAGCAGCTGCTGCTGCTGCTGTTGCTTCTGCTGCTCACACGCTGCTGCTTGCTGCTGCCGCCGCAGCCTGACGGCTTCTGATCGGCACAGCGCCACGGCTGCCTCCGGTGTCTGCACAAAGCCCTAAACCCCAAACCCTAAACCTTAAACCCTAAACCCTAAACCCTAAGCGTTTGGCCCCATATTTGAACCCCAGGTATCACTTGAAACAATATCAAGTCTTGCTGCTTCTGCTGCTGTTGCTGCTGCCGCTGCTGCTGCTGCTGCCCGTACTTGTGGCTGCTGCGCGTAGGGCAGTGCTGCCGCTACTTTGTCCAGCAGCAGCTGCTGCTGCTGCTTTGCTGCGTCTCTTCTTTCTTCCGCCTTAAGTCCATCTGCTGCTGCAGCAAGCTCTTGCTGCAGCTGCTGCTGCAGCAGCAGCTGCTGCTGCTGCAGCTCATTTACTTTGTTGCACACGGCTTGCCTCTTTTCGCCCTTAACCTGCAGCAGCAGAAGCAGCAGCCACAAAGCATTAGCAGCAGCAGCAGCAGCAGTCGCTTCGAGAGCAGCAAGAAGACCAGCGGCTTCAGCAGCAGAAGCAAAAGTGCAGCGAAATCCGCAGCAGCAGCAACAAAAGCAGCAGCAACAAGAGCAGCGGCAGCAACATTGTCCCCAGCTTCAGCAGCAACAGCAGCCACAGCAGCAGCAGCAGCGGTGGCAGCAGCAGCACCAGCAGCAGCAGCTAACTTTATATTCCTCTGAAATTTTTTCAAAAAGCTCTTCAAGCTCTTCCAGAGGCTCCTCAAATACGAAAGCTTCATCTTCCTCTTCTTGCTGCTGCTGCTGCTGCTGCAGTTGCTGCTGCAGCTGCTCCAGCTTCTGCTGATGCATCGCCTGCATTTCCTCAGCGACTTGCAGCTGCTGCTGCTGCTGCTGCGCCCGCCGCAGCAGATCTGCTGCTGCTGCAGTCACCTCTTCGAGCTCCTCAACCGTTTGCTGCTGCTGCCTGCAGCAGCAAAAACGGCGGGCGGCTGCAGCAGCTGCTGCTGCCCCTGCTGCTAGGGTTTAGGGTTTAGGGTTTGAAGGGCAAATTTGAGGGTATAGAGCTTAGGGTTTGCATCTCTAGTCCTTCCCAGTTCTACTCGAGGACTTTAAGTCTTAGGGTTTAGGGTTTAGGGTTTAGGGTTTACTCAATTTGGCGCTGCGTGTCGTCTATGGCTTGCTGCTGCTGCTGCAACTGCGTCTGCAGAGCTGCTGCTGCTGCTCTGTGGACATCAAGAAGCCGCAGATCGCTTTCTCTGTCCTTCAGCTCCATCACGTGCACCTTCCTGCAGCATCAGCAGCAGCAGCAGCAGCAGCAGCAGACTGAGAGCTGCAGCTGCGCCAGCAGCAAGAGCAGCAGCAGCAGCAGCAGACTGAGAGCTGCACCTGCGCCAGCAGCAAGCGCAGCAGCTTGAACAAGCATCAGCTTCCGCGGCAAAGCAGCAGCAGCACCAAATCAACAGCAGCAAAGCAGCAGCACAGCAACAAAGCAACAGCAGCCACGCCAGCAGCAAACCAGCAGCAGCAGCAGCAGCAGCAGCAGCAGCAGCAACCTTGCTGCCCGTATGGCGAGGAGGGCCTTGGCGTATCTGGTGGCAGCAAAAAGAGAATCAAATCTTTTCTTTAAAGTGGCCATGTCCCCCATGGGCCAGCAGCTTTCCTCTTGGTGGCAAAACACCACGTGCTCCAGAACTGCCCGCGGGATTTCTGAGCAGCAGCAGCAGCAGCAGTAGCAGCAGCAGCAGCAGGAGCAGCAGCGAGCAAAGCAGGCGGCGCGGCAGGGATACAGCAGCAGTAGCCGCGGCGGTGGCAGCAAGAGCGGCAGCAGCAGCAGCAGCAACAGCAGCAGTAACAGCAGCAGCAGCAACAGCAGCAGCAGTAGCAGCAGCAGCAGCAGCAAGTTACCCAGCAGCGCCGTGAGCTGCTCGTCTATATTGGCGCATTTGTGGCTTATCGAAGCAACTTGTCCTTCTGCGTTTTTTATCTGCAGCACTGCTTCCAGCGCCTGCAGCAAACAGCACACAGCCTGCTGCTGCTGCTGCTGGTGCTGCTGCTGCTGCTGCTGCTACTTGCGCGGCTGGTGGTGGTTAGGGCTCCGCTTCTGGCCCTGCTGCTGTGCAAACTAGTGCTGCTGCCTGCTTCTGCGTTATGCTGCAGCCCCTGCAGCAGCAGCAGCAGCTTTTCTGTTTGAAGCAGCAGCAACAGCAGCCTGTGGGTCCACAGCAGCTGCAGC